AGACGAGCGGGATGGCAGTGAGCAGCAGATCAGGAATAAAACTGCTGCTCAGTGTGTCTGCACTTACTCTAACTACTCGACTGTTGTTTTGCCGTCTTTAACTACTCAGCCTTAAATCAACAGCATCAGGTCAAGAGACAAATGGTGTCTTCAAAGAACAGATCAATAGAGCAGTTTTATAATTCAAAGATGTTTCCTCTCTTCTCTTGGCAGCCATGAAGGAGCTTCTGCTCCTCTGTCTGCTCCTCTTGTCTGGAGGTCAAAGGTCATTGGCGTGCCCTCACCTGTGCTCCTGTCATGGCGCTCAGGTGAACTGTAGCAGCAGGTCTCTCACCTCCTCCTCGCTGCCCACCAGTTTCCCTGCTGGGACCACTGAGCTCCGTCTCCACAACAACCGGCTGTCCACCCTCCCCAACGGCCTCCTGGACGGGCTGAGCTCCCTGCGCTCCATCTCCCTCCACGGTAACCCCTGGGCGTGCGACTGCAGCGTCCTCTACCTGCGAGCCTGGCTGCTGCGTCAACCCGCCGGCCTCGCGTCACACCTGGGCGTGAACTGCAGCTCCCCTCCCGGCCTCAGAGGGCGGCTGGTGGTGTATTTAACCGAGGAGGAGGTCCTGGAGTCCTGCCACTACTGGTACTGCGACCTGGCTCTGGCCTCGCAGATCTGTCTGTTCGTGTTCGTGGTGGTGCAGGCGGCTCTGCTGGTGGCGCTCATCATTTTCCTGAGGAAGTTCGAGAGGCTCTCCAGAGAGGCGAAGAGAACCACAGAGGAGAGCTTCACGGCCGGAGAGAGTCAGAGGGAGAACGAATACGCACCGCTAAAGGACAGCAGCATCTGACGTGGAACTATGTGAAGAGCTGTTTGTCATTTACAGAGAGAAGATGTTCCTCTTTAATTCTCAGTTCAGGCGACTAATTCANGCAGTGGAGTGTAATGACGATATTTGTCTCTCTGGGCTGTTGTAGTAGCAGAATATGGACATACTTTAAATAAACTACAAGTATCTCTGACTTGTATTTAAGTGACACTGCTGGTAATAATCCATGATGGACTTGATACCTGATACGTCACATATACATCTTACCAGTTGGGATTTTTTCTAATATTTTAAAGTAATCTGAATGTACTTATAATATATTATGTCTTACTGGAAGCTTTATTCTCCCTATTTGTTAAACTACATGCTAAAATGTCTGCATGTTTAGCTGAGCTGCTGTAATCTGAATAAACGACGTACTGCATCTATACAGTCAGTTAGTTTAAAAATATTCATTGAATAACATCTATTTTACCTCAAATTGGTACCAACAACTAATTTACTAGGAATTAAATTCTTTTTTTTAAAACAAAGACTTTCTGAGGTATTTCCCATGCTGCTGCTGCTGTGTGTGTGTCCTACTGTGCATGCGTGTGCTCCAATGTGTGTGTGTGTTAATAATGTTCTTTATCAGTGAGCTCCAGCTGGCCGTTCAACACTCTTCCTCTGAGAACTGCTGTAAGAAACATCCCCTGAAGACACGCAGCGCTGAAGGTAATCGACCCTCCTCAGACTTTACTGAAAGTTTTTTCAGCTCGGTAGCTGTTTTAATTACTGAAATTAAAAGTGGATGACCCACGACCCCAAGTGTTTTCATGCCGGGTCTTCACTGTAAACTGTTTAGTCCGAATTCGTCAACACGCAGCTGATAAGAAACAAAGAAAGAAAGCAGAGGGTTGCTTGCTGTCATTGCACTGGGCAGAAAATAATCCCAAATGAATGCAAAATGGAGTAAAATAAACCAATTATGTCTTAAATGAAAACATAATGTCCTAATGATAACATATTGTGTTTGTTTTAAAGCATTAAATTGGTGGTAAACTATAAACTAGAGTTACATCATCCAGTAGGACATCACATGTTTATTTCTGTATGTTTAATGGTTTATTTTTTCTGCCTGAAATTTACAGTAAATATTTTACAGTGTGCAGCCATATAAAGCAGATTCTGTCAGCAGAGAGTGACCAAAACAATTAAACACTGTTACACTTTTATGCATTTATAGCTCTGAGCTGATAACATCCCCGACAACAACGACTACATTTTTCTACGCAAAATAATAATAATAATTTCTTTATTTATTTTCATTCTCATATATC